TGGTGCATAAAAAAAGTATATCAAAAAGGATATAGAGACCTATATATACTATATAGAGACCTATATATACTAGACCTTGATTAAAAAGAAAATTTTATTAATATCATAAACTATTTTAACATGAGTATAATCTATGTGTTTTCTGTTTCTGGGTTGGCATAACCATTGTTTCATCTGACTGCACTTGTTGTTTATAAACGGCAGCTCTTTACTTCGTTACAAACATCATGCCTCTATAGCAAGCTGCACTTTATATAGTATACTTAGATGGGTACTTAACAATCGCGTTGTACCGTTGTCAAGCGGTAACCGCTCGATGACGAATACCAGCAGGTGATTTTATTCTTTCGCCAGTCGCGTCTTTATTCCCACTCTACCATCTCTTCGTAGTTTTCGATGTCAATTAAATTTAAGCCCGCAGTGTCTTTGCTATCGTGTGGTCTGGCCTCAAGTCGCTCATGCGTTGTAAGTTCGATGAACTCGTTTCCGGAAAGGTCATATCTGTCAGTGTAGCTTTAATATTAGTTAGATTTATTCAAGTTTTACTATTCAAAGAAGGTTTACAAGCATTTAATTTCGCTACGGCTCGGTTAGACACTCGCTATCTTATCGTATATGGCGATAAATTACGACGTATTCAATATGCAATCAATATATGCTATACGTAGACGTTCTATCAACAGTTGTTCTGTTGAACGCGGCCGGAGCGCTACTTTGTCTGATGTTGGTGTTTTCATTCATAATATAAGCAAGCAAGATCAGCTCGATATAAAAATGATAATTTATCGCGCGGTTAGTGATTCCAATGTGAAGGAGTAATTGCGAATAAATAGGAATTAGATCAGTGGTTTTGTGGACGTGTTTTCTGTGTAATGTTATTCGACGATAGTAAAACTTTTTATGGTTTCGATATATATATGTGCGTCTTTAACTCATTTTTTATTTGAACAAGTGTTGTGAGGTTAGATCATGTTCGCCTATAAATATTTTCAAACTTACGGTATATTTGTAAGTTTGCTTAATTATTGTTATCGTTCATTATAGATGATAGATGATTGAAATGGGAGATGAGTTTCAAACGTATACGTCGATAGAATTGTAGGTATTATTAATATCTATTCATTCATGATGTCAATTGTTATGTACGCCAATCTATAGGCTTGTTTATTACTTAATAGAACATACTCACGTGGTACGATGAGAAGGAATCGTTATTTACCTTTACGAATTTTGAGTTCGTGCAGGACTAGACTTAAGAAGAAACAAGTGATAAAATTTGTTAAACGTGTATGAAATGTTTGTGCGCGAGTTTTCTTCTAACATCGATGATGTGAACAGCAGAACAATGGTGGATAATGCCTCTTTCGAGTTTTCGGACGATTCCAGTGGCGAAGGCAGCATAACGTATTCAACAAATCAAGAGTAAGATGATTTTTTTAAGTGATAATTTTGAAAAGCCATATTCAGTTTTATAATAATCTCCTTTTTTAAATATTTCAAGTTTAAGATATTGTTGTAATTGTGTAAAAATGTCTAGTTCAAAGATTTTGATTAACATTTAAAATGTGTGTACTTTATCAAGATAATTTTAGCGTTATCGATTAATCCGACTTAAAAATGTATGTAATTTACAAATTACAAGTGATGTGCTTCCCTAGATGATAATAATTAATCATAATGTTATTAGTTTCCATAATATACCGGAATCCCATAGGTTTCCATACAAATAGTACTCATGTTATTCATGCTCCGGCCCATGAACTAACTCTAAGCGAAAAACTATGTCGATCTAAAAATCGACGGTTTTTGCTTAACATTATTGAGCTGCGTGATAAATTAACAAACATGTTTTCTTATTTCTAACAGTAGTAAGTATTTATTGAGAAAGAAAATTAAAAGAAATATTATTCGTTCAAACACGACAGGCATATTTGATTATTTTTTTAAATAAATAATTATTTATTTAAAATAATTATTAACCTATATATTATATAAAATAAAGCCAAGGGTTTGTTACAACACTTATAACTCGAGAACTGTTGCATCGATTTTTATGATATTTGTTTTGTTGGATTTGTCTTCACCCCGAATAGCAGAATAATTGTTAAAACATGGGAAAAATTAAAAAAAAAGAAAAAAAAATCTATTCCATACTAAGCATCATTTATAAAAATACCTGGCTATTCTATAATTATTAATTGTCTATCATAATATGGCGTCCCGTAAAAGGAGAAAATTGCCGACTTGACCGTTACCTTATTCGTTTTTATTTGTTTGTAATAAATATGGCAATGAATACGAAAAAAAAATAAAGATATATGTACTGTACAGTTACGTGAAAAGTTCAAGAAAATATTTATTTGTATAACAGTTCTTCTATGTATGTCATATTAAAATGCAATTTCTTACGTAGATCTTAGCATTATATATGTTTTATTTATAAGAATCGGGAGTAAATCGCTTTATTTAAACACCAACAAGGCATATTTTCGCTTAGCTGTATTGGGATACAAATTTTATATGGTCCATATAACCTGGAGCAAACACGGTTTTTGTTCAGTTGTTCTTATTGGAGTCCCAAGACACAGTGTTGTTGTGATATTTACTAAAATGGGTGTTTATCTTTTTAAAAAGTAGGTATATATTTAAGTTCCTAGTAACTATTCCATACATATATACATACATATATTCCATATATGGAAAATCAGACCAGATCAAAAAGTATGTCAAATCAAAAAGTGCAGTTATTACCTGCCTAATGTTATTTAGAATCAAATTTGAAATCAGTTTTGAGTATAGAATCAGATTACACAAAGTCAATTTATTTATCATTTTTTCTTTATTTTATCCATCAATACATGATTTCTGTCTTATCTCATAAAACCAGATTGTTGGTATAATCAATAGGTTATCATTAGTGTATATGTAGTACGAATTGTTTCAATCGTTTTCAATATCATAATAACGTTGTTACTATGTTGCATATTTTTTAAATATTTTTTTCATATATTAATTATTAATTAATTATTTTTTTTTTCATATATTAATTAATATTAATATATGAAAAAAAAATGTTTAAAAAATATGTATTAATTGTTACTTTATTAAAACTTACGTAACGCTTGTATAGCTCTTTCTCGTGTTTGCTCGCGATCCACCTTTGTAGTTTATTTTCTGTGAATTTTTCACGCTAAAACGGGTGGACACGTTTGAATGTGTGTACATCATGATAGATATAATCCAGAGTATCATATAGACCACTGTTAGCAACTGAGAGATTTATGGGAGCTAAACGAAAGTAAATCGCTAGTAGTACCCTAGGCTATAAAATGTAAAAACTATTTGGTAATTCTATAGATTAGCATGTTCAAACAAACAAATAAAAAAACAAACAAAAACAAGCAAATTTCCGTTTTTTTTTTAATATTTATGTTATACGGACAAATATAAAAAAATACTCTATACATACAGTTTAGGTATTATATTAATAAAATCATTTCATGTCATATATGTTATATATGGTTATGAAAATGTTAGATATGGTTATATTTGTTTAAATAAAAAATAAAGTTGTTATATAATAATAATAAATTGTAATTGTATTATGCCAGTGTAATTTAAGACTGCAAAAGCTCTCATGCAAACTTTCGTCAAAGTGTTCAAATTGATGACAAACTTGCGTAACATGTACCTACCTACGTAAAAATTAATTTTTATAGGAAACACAAGTTTGTGTTGAAAATTGTATATTTTCATATTTTGATTGATGATTGATGATTTTATGATTGATGGGGTTGTGTAGTGAATTTCCTTTTTTATGGCTAAATATTATTAAATAATTAATTAATTAATAATAATTTACTACATAACTTAAGGTTTAAGTCTCGTACTGTTCATGTTATAAACTTTGAATTGCAAAAATCCTTAAGGGATAAAGTCTAATCTGGACGGCCCATCCAACCAAAAGGTGAAAATATAATATATTGCTAAGAAACGACTGATGCATTAATGAAATTGTTTCTATGACTTACATATGTCGCGTTAGTGAGCATAACCCCGTATTGTATAACTCTATGAATAATTATTTAATTAAATTTCAATTTTTAAGAAATGGCCTGTGTTTTTTTAAAAGCTTTTTGTTTATTAAAAATACTACTTGAGTTAGGTACAGGAAGCTAATAGGAACTCGGTCGTCGTGTATGTGTATTGTCACCTGAACTCTCTCATATTCCGATATCACCATTATTTCATAATATACCTATAATGCTATATAGACCTATAATGCCTTTGAGACATCTAAAACCTCAGTCTCTCCCGTGACCATGATTGCTGTAAAGCATTCGAAACGTCGGGAACCAAAAATGAAAATAAATTCGCGAAAAAATCCGAAAAGATAGTTTTATTTAAAATGTTGGTATTTTACTTAATAATTTTATCCATAGTTTTATTAGTTTTTTCTCCTCACATTCTTCTTTTTGTCACAAATTCATGTATGATATTAAAAATATTTTATTTAAGTTCAAAGCGCTCTACACAGATAACATGAATACGATAAATGCAGACCTGGTTTGAACTTTCCGAAACGAGGAAACCAGCAATTCCAAACATTTTGTTTCCATTTAATATGTTATTGAACTCTGTTTAACTTATAAGCAAGTATATAAGTTAGAAAATTAAAGTAATAAATAGGTTACAATACTCTTGGTGGAGTTGCTTACATGAGCATTTTCGTAGTGGAACAAGTGAATGGAAAATTTAGTCTTAATACTTATGGTTAGTGCTTCGTACAGTTATCTGTTCTTTAATTTTTTTTCAAAATATATAGTATTTTATAAAACAAGTGCTTATAACTATGACTTTATAGGTATGCTTAAAACAATTTTTCACACATTTGTTCTTTTAAAATTGGCCTTAAATTTTACCTGAATTATGTATATGATACGTTAATATAAACATATTTATAATTTCTTGTTAACTGTAAAGAAAATCCTTTGTTACAGACATGCCTTGAAACCGCTTTCGGGTTCCGCGCCGTCTGTGCGCGTGGCGGCGCAGACCTCAGGTGACGAGACCGCGGAAGGCAAGCAGCCGAGCAAGTCACGACAGAAGAAGTTTCAAAGGCACTTTCCGCAGGTCGGACCCGAAGAACGAGTACTCAACTGTAAGTAATCTTCCAATACTAGCAGGTTGGCTCTAGTTTTGCCTATACTGTATTTGTAAATTACTTGAATGAGTGTAATAAAAAAATTATTTTGGTCAAATTTCTGTATTTTTTTTCTTTTTTGTGATTATGTTTTTGCTGCTTTTTTCTTTTTTCTGACTACTCATTAACATAATATATGTAAATTAGTGGAAACTTTATTGCTGCATGTGCTGTCTTTTATGTGTTTACTGTAATTTTTTTAAATACTGTTTGTTTCTCAAAAAAAAAAAAACATATTCATGTCATAGAATATATAACAAATAAGTGATAGATGGTCAAAATAATCATTATTTTTAATGAGATTGTTTACGACCGTTTTATACCAATTTCAAAAAGCAGGTAATAGGAAGGTACTTAATTCGTCTGCATTTTTAATGAACATGTTATATCTCAAGGATGGTCCAATATGAATATGTAAAAAAAAACTTTGAATTATTTAAAGTATGTATATTCTTAAAAAATAATTAACACACTCAGTGCACATTCATGAATGTACGAAAATATACGACACGTTTGGCTCAGTATGTAGTAACCCTACTTGCTGTGCCAGCGGTTGCGGGTTCAAATCCCGCTGGGGGCATTCATTTGTGTGATCAGCACGAATGTTTGTACTCCAGTCATGGGTGTTTATATTTATAATATGTATGTATTTAATGTTATAGATATGTAATGTATCAACTATCTAGTATCCATAACACAGGCCTCGTAGCTTACCATGGAACTAGATGGTGCTGTGTGTTAATGTCCAAACATATTTATTTATTTATACGAAAAATCAAAATATACATTTATGTAATACTTATAGGTAGTAATTTTTGAAGCAATTATGATTTTAATTTATTAGCTTAAAAAGACTATCCGTTAGTACAAATCATACTCTCAAGCTCTTTACAAATGTTCGATTACTACTTGTTTATGTGCCATATACATATCTATTAGTTTTATCTATTAATAGATTTCTTTTGGTTTCGAACGTTGAAAACAACTCTGTTACACAGGAATTCTTAAACTTTATTCATTGACTCGATCGATTATGTAAATACTATGATTCTAGTTAAATCAAAACAAAATCTTTTTATGCTTTGAATTACGAAAAGGTGGCCATGTTATCTTATAGGTATATCTTCTCAAATCAAAACTCATACTGCTTTCATATACTGCAATATTTATTACACTACATATAAAGTCACCGGATATCCCGTAAGAGTTCATAATTTTCTTAGGAATTAAGATATTTTAAATGTTTGTCAGAGTATGGATAACAAAAATGCCAGTTTACATCAAAATACGACAGCAATCTTGCCTTACCTATATTTTTTAGCCTTATCACGCTTTAGAGAAATTTTTCATTTTAATAAAGAGTCCTATAGCTCTCTATTTTTAATTTCAATATCAATCGATCAGTATCGCCATTTAATTGTGACGAAAACAACACAGATACCCACTTTTACGTTTGTATGATTAACCTATAAATAAAAATGTGTGTGTGTGTACTTATGTACGCACGTAAGAAGTTATACTTCTTTGGCGTAACAGAACAAAAATAGCTAAAGATTTCATCCCGTATGCCACAATTCTCTGTTTGTAAGAGGAATGCAGCTAACTTCGTCATGTAGCTTTTTGGCTGTCGGTGTGCGCGCGCATTGTAAAAATTTTGCTCTCATATATTTTTTTCAAACGTGCCAAAAGAAGTATAACTTTAAAACTAAATAACTAAAATAATCAGCCACGTGTGGTTAATAATAATTTATCTATTGTTATCAGTACACTTGGTTACCTGCTACGATAGTGTAGAAGATTTGAATGTCGGTATGCCATTGCTTGAATTTTTTATTTCGTACATATATAATTTCGAGGTCTGACGTCCGTGCTGTGCTACTTGATTATACATACACGCATTATTCATTTCTTAGTTATCTTCAAGTTGAGAAATATTGAATTTAAATTTGTTTCTTCAATCTGTCAAAAGTAGTTTTTAAACTTTATATCATTCAGATTTGTATTGAGGTTTCCATAACTAAAAGCTTCGTGGAACTTTTAACTTTTTTATCAGTCCAAACCTAGTACAGATAAAAAGTTTATTAAAGTATTATTTAATAGAACTGCAATCGAAACCGAACAGAATAGAATAGATAATTATTGATAACACCAATATTATGTACCAGCGATCCTAGGTATCTTAGTCGCGATTTATTTTATTTATTTTTGTCGACATACAATACAAAATTTGTATCCACGAAAACCTTTTTATCTTAAGCGAATAATATAAAGCCTAGGTCTATTCTAAATATTGGTAAAAAAATATATATGGATAAATTACATCGGAATTTACCTTGTACATTTAAATTCTGAACTTACATTAATAGGTACAAGTTTTACCTCTTCATCATTCATCAACAGAGACCTTCACCTAATAGGAAATAGCAAGCAGTTTAGATCTATGATTTATGTCCAAAAGATGAACATGACCAAAAACCAAATTCTTAGCTTTTATATTAGAATACTCTTACATTGCAGTTTTTGTATTTTTTCTCAGAAATGAGACATTTTCCCGCGGTAAAAAGTTTCCTATATGTTGACCCAGATAACCAGTTATCATCATACCAAATTTCATCAAAATCCCTCCAGTGGTTTTTCTGTGATGCGGTAACAGACAGACAAAAATTCTAAAAACTATAAATTCGGCCTCTCTATCGACAATAATGTTTATTTCAAAAAGATTTTCCAAAAAATATTTAATGTACCTACAGATTCGGCTTAGTTTATTTTATTATATGTATAGATTATTAATGATGAACTAAAGCAAAACAAAAGCTATTTAAGTTATCTTAGCTTAACACGATAATATAAAAAGGTAGTATATTTTTTCTTTAGAATGCTTAGAGCATTCTACTTGCTTGTATTGGAATGAGTAATGAAATTTTCTTTGGTTTTTTCAGATTATTCATGCGCCTTGGTAGGAGATCTGTTGCTTCAAGGACATTTGTATATAACGAAAAACTATTTCGCTTTCTACTCAAACGTCTTTGGCTATGTGACCAAGGTAAGCTAGTCGTATAATACGATAGGTTGAGTAATACATACACACATATTTTAACTCATACGCAGATTTATGTGTAATATATTAGTTTATAGAACCAGTTAGTTTTAAAACTGTACATTCAATAGAAAATATTTATTTATTTCGTCGGACAATAATTTAAAAATATATATATTTTACTTATTTCATTTTTTTTTTTAACTCCTGGCACGTCTCTTTTTGTTTGGCTATCGTCCGATTCCTTTAGTTTCGATATTAGCAGTCACAAACAGACAGACAAATGATTGATTTTTGTTTTAAAGAAATATGATTAATGAGTTTCAAGTATCTATTGAATTTAAATTGTAAAACTTTTACAGAGTAAATTCAAGGTAAGCAACTTACTTTCATTAACAGTTGCTTTGTACGTTTTAATTATTATCTTTATTATTATTTTAGTTTTCTATTTCATATATTAAATTTCTTTAATGAATCACTGAAATACGACGAAGATAAAACGTCTTTTGAATAAACTTACGTCTCCTGAGAGGTAAATGGTAAAGTAAGGTTGTATTTTTTAAGCTATAAATATTAAAATTGAAGTTAAAGCTTTGATATTCTTTAAGCAATAGCTGCTGCGATTAGAGTTTTTGATAAACAATAATCGTATTTTTGACATACCTACCTCGAATAAACTATACAGAACAAAATAAAATTGAAGTGTCTGTTTATAATGTCAAAATAACAGCTTTTTACTAAATGCATATGAAAGTAAACACGGTACTTATAAGAGAAAAAAAACAATTTTTAATATTTTTTCCGTCTGTCTGTTCCGGCTAATCTTCGAAACGGATGAACCGATTATGACGGGACCTTCACTGGAATATAGCAGGGGCTATAAGGAGTAACTTAGGCTACGTTTATTTTTGAAAAAGAATCAGGGTTCTGCACAAAAACATTAAAATTTAAAACCCATGAAATTATGAACAAAATGTACGTATATACAAGTAAACCTATTATAAGTTATAAAATTTTTTGTAACTTAATAGAACAAATATTGAGGCCAAAATGTAATTATATCTACGAAATTCAAATTTTAAGCTAACTCCCTCTCTCGGTTAATTAAGATTTAAAAGGCTTTAGCAGTAATTGTATTCGTACTTTTGTTCGTTAAGAATGTAACTTGTGGAGGAAGATATTGTGAATTCTGAGCTTTAATATAATCACTACATAGTATAAAACAAAGTCGCTTTCACTGTCCCTATATCCTTATGTATGCTTAAATCTTTAAAATTACGCAACGGATTTTGATGCGGTTTTTTTAATAGATAGAGTGATTCAAGAGGAAGGTTTTAGTATATAATTTGTTAAGTTTTTGTATACATTGGCTAAAATATAACGATATTTGTTGGAGGTGTGTCGGAAAAATAAGATGTCTGGGAGCTTTCAACGAAAACGCTGCCTAAACCCTTTGAGATATAACAAAATAATGTATGGTGGAATTGTGTATCTTATATAGGTGTACAGAAAAGTCAGAGATGGCATATGTCTATCTCTTAAGGATAACATACTATATCCATTTTAATGTAAAACGTACCTAGGGACGAACCCGAGCGAAGCGAGGGTGAGTCGCTAGTTAATTTATTATATTAAAACAATATATAAATATTTTCATTTAACTTTAGTTTTGTTTCTAACTAGATAGAATTTGGGGAGGAATTGTATTTGCCAATGGGCTAATAGGCGTAACGAGACGACTTGATGTATGGACAGGTATGCCTATAAATCAAAATATATACATATGTATAGAGTCTACGCAAATGATTACTTTGATCAGTTGCGCCGTTAGTACGTGAAAGAAGGACAAACTAACACTTTCTTAACTTAGAAGGTGTATTTTTTTCCACTTAATTCATAAATATTCATAATATAGGTAGTTTACAGACTCAAAATGTTTAAATATTTCTTAGATAATACCTATTTCTATTGGCAAAACCGTATTAAAATCCGTGCAAGTAGTTTTTGAGATTAGACCGAAATAACGTACGAGTATATAGCGATTTTAATTTATAATATGTAGTAAAAATCACTTAGTTATATACCTAAAGGTTACTTGATTATACATACGTACATACAAACATGTTGTATAACTCGTGGTCTTGGAATTGTAATAGTTTATTTAAACGGAACCAGTTGTCCTTAACCTTAAGACGAATGTTGAGACTACTTAAATGATTTACGCTCTACACTTTAGAGGTCAGTGAATGAATAACAAAAATAAGAATTATTATAATAATATACTCGTAGTTTGAGAACGACGTTGTATGACGTGAATGAAAGGAAAATAACCTATTTAAGAGTTAGACTGTAAGGCTTTTAAAGTAGGGACGAATTTTATAAGCTGGTGGATGGTTTCTTGAAGGGAAATAATCTATACATATAATAAAATTCTAACTAAGCCGAATCTGTACATTAAATATTTTGTGGAAAATCTTATTGAAATAGTCATTATTATCGATACAGAGGCGGAATCTATAGTTTTTAGAATTTTTGTTTGTTTATTACCGCATCACGATAAAACTACTAGACAGATTTTGACGAAATTTGGTATGATGATAGCTAGTTATCCGGGTCAACATATAGGATACTTTTTACCACGGGAAAATATCTCATTTCTGAGAAAAAATACAAAAACTGCATTGTAAGAGTATACTAATATGTAAAACCTAAGAATTTGGTTTTTGGTCGTCTGAACGCGGGCAATGCTAGTAATAATTATATTATTTAAGCTATCACAAGAAAGCGTACACCCGAATTAAAAACCTTCACCGTTTTTGAAGTAGGTTAGAGTTTAAACATAAGGAACCCAAGGTCCATTGATCATTCAAGAAGACTGAAAGCTTAATATTGGAAAAACTACGCCCGTAGCGTGCAACTATTTATTATTATTTTTGACTAAATGAGTTTTACATGTTAATATTAAAAAGCTTTAATAAAGTTCCGTAGATTTGTTTTGCCTTTGGTAATATAATAGGTTAAATAGTAGGGTAGTCTGTCCTACAAATATTAATAACGGTTAACATATCGTTTTAATTCTATGTTTTAGTAATTAATTAAGTTTTATCAGGCATATTGGCATTGTTTAATATGTTATCTAATATAGAAAACTGAAAAACTGCCCCTAAATAACTTTCATTCTACTTTGCTTTCACAACTGTGTCTTTTTTCGGTGATCGCGACAATCTAGTAGTATTAGTGGAAAATAATATATTTTTTTAAACCAGTTGCTGATACCAACGACGTCCGTCCTTCGCATAACAAAGGAGAAGGTGGCGCGTATAATTCCCAATGCGGTGGGAGTGTGCACGCGCGACGAGCGCCACGTGTTCGGCTCGTTGTTGTCGCGCGACTCCACCTACAAACTTATGATGCACGTATGGAAAGCGGCCCGAGTTCCTGAGCTGACTGTGCCTAAACCTGAGGTAACTTATATTATTGTTAGTTTTGTTATGACTGCTTAGATGGTGTAGTGGCTGGCACGTATGGTTGCATATTGGGTCCTGGGTTCCTGAGTACGAGTCCCGGGTCAGGCCAAGTCAATAAGTCGGTTCTGTTAAGAAAGTCCCAGCTTTGGTTCGGTTGGCTAGTGTCAGTGAGATTGGCAGCCGTGACTGAAATCGTTCGGAGGATATTAGTTTTGTTATTTTAATTATATATCTTTTTTTAGTTTTTTGTTATGTTTTATTGTATATACATATGTACATATATACTGAGAAACTCTGGCTTCGCTCGAGCGCGTCCCTAGATGCCCTTCGCATTTATATTATTATAGAAATTGTCAGAAGGGACGATGTCTTCTGACTTCTATATAATAATATCTTCATACCACGAGCTTATTTTCGTAATATGTTTATAAATTATAGCCAGTAACCTTCCTAGATAGATCTTTCTTTCTATTGGTGAAAACTATATAACAATCCATACAGTAGGTTCTGAGATTAGCTCGAACCAACACACACTCAGTGTGGCGATACATATAATAAAATTCTGAGTCGAATCTGTACATTAAATATTTTTTGGAAAATCTTATTGAAATAGACATTATTATCGATACTGAGGCCGAATGTATAGTTTTTAGAATTTTTCTCTGTCTGTCTGTGACTGCATCACAAGAAAACCACTCGACAGATTTTGATGAAATTTGATATGATGATAGCTGGTTATCCGGGTCATTATAGGACATTATAGGATACTTTTTACTGCGGGAAAATATCTCATCTCTGAGAAATCGATACTAAACGTTAAAATGTAAACGTAAAACTAGGGACCAGCCCGAGCGGAGCGAGGGTGAGTCGCTAGTATATAATATATTATGTAGTCTACAATAGACTACTTCATCACAATAAAGAACATTTATTACCATAAATTTTCTTATAGTATGATTAAGTAGTCTATTGTTGATTTGAAAAGGCTATTAAATCACACTGTATCCTCAAGTAAAATGATTTAAAAAAATATTTTTGAATTCGAACCAAACACAATAAAGAAAACAATATTAAAAATCGCTTCAGTCTAAGCTAAGATAAACAACAACTCAGTTTTTTTTTACTTTTTTTTGTTTAACTACTTCGAATGCTTCATTAATTTTAGCTTTCGACGTTGGAAATCCCGTTTACGTATGAAATTATTATAGTTGCCAAATATTTTTCGCTCGTTCTTTGTAAATTATACAAAAAAATAATACAGATGAATGGTACGATCGCGACCTTGCGACACGACAGTGACAAAATTAATTAAAAATTTGAACGATTCAATTATTTTTAATTCAAGAATCTTAAATATTTTATTTTTTGTTAATGACTTTGAGCAAAACACTTTTTTCTTCTGTTATAGATATGTAGTACTATTATATTGCGTAGATTATGATGTATGCACGAGTGTATGACTGACATAGTCTAATATAGAGTACTAGTAGAACCCGCGGCTTCGTTCGCGATAAAACTATTAAAAAAACTAAAAAGGTAGGTTTTATACAAACTTTCATCCCCTATTTTACGCCCATAAGGCATAAATTTCAAAAAAATCTAAAACACGTATTTATTTAATTAATTATTATGTATTGAAGACCAACCAAGTTTCAAGTAATTATGATCATAAATAATTTTTTGGATTGTATTATAACCTGTTTTCCCTTGGAAATGTAGCCTATATCACTCTCCAGTCCTCTAACTATCTCTACCGTCACTCCGTTTCGACGTGAAAGAAGGACAAACAAACAAACTTTCACATTTATAATATTAGTATGGATATCCTATATCGCGGGCTCGAATCCTGTATGAAGCAATTGCTGGTTTTGATATTGGCCATAAAGTTGTTTCTCCATATGTACTTATAGGGGGTAAACAATATGTAAATTTTTCTTTACCGCAAGAGTGGTTGCATGTTATTATTAATAATTTGTTTTTTTTTTGCGAAACTGATGTCAGATGAGTTGTTAATGTAAATGAGTTTACTAACATTTAGGTAAATGTAAACTACGCTGGAAACTTTTACATATTATTGTAAGTCTCTACATATTGGATGCGTCATCACGATTATGGTGTTTTTGTCGATTGCTCTAAAGCTTGGGTTTGTGTTGTTGTGAATTGTATCAATTTAAGGAGTGACTAAAGTCACTCCTTAAAGGTTAGTTTTGATGGAAAATTTTTATTTCATAGCGTTTCATATGTACTTGTCACTTTGCAGCCATTAACTTACGATCACACTTTTTCTTATATTGACATATCTTGTAGAATTATCATTGTTAATGCATAAATTATTTTAAATTTCAGGAGCTAAGAGCATCAGAAGTTGAATTAGAAGCATCAGAATATTCGCCAGAAGACGACAGTAGTTCTGGCGGCGCGGACCACATAGACGCGCCCACCGCGCCCGTCAGGCCCGAGCCTGAAGCCATCATAGCTGCTGGTAAATATTATAATAAATAAATATAATAAATTTGTTGGGACATTAACATACAGCACCATCTCGTTCTGTAGTGCAGGTACTACAGTTGATACACTACACATATATAACTTCAAATACATACATATAACAGAAAACATACCAACTTTTTGAAAAAAGCTGATATTTTGACGGGTGAATTTTCGATTGAAAATTAGGGTGTTTTTTCGATATTAATTCAAAATAAGGTGAAAAAATAAATATTTTTAATCAAATAAATTACAGCGTATTTGGGACATAAAAAGGTAAGTTTTCACCAAATTTCGTTAAAACAAAAACATTTTTGTAAAAGATAAAAATAAAAAACCAAAAACTTGGTTTTTCAAATTTTTCACATAAATTTTGAGGTTATGTGAAAAAAGTGTTAATACAAAAGTTTTAGATCTTTTTATTACCTACAACTTTGCCATTTGATATTTTTCGATAGGACTTTTAGTTTTGCCGGAAATCGAGAAAAAACGTTTTTTATCCTTAAAAGCTCCCCCCCACCCCCTTCCCGACCTCAGATCGCCCGTAAATTATTTTTCCTTTCATTTTTATAATATTCCCCTCGTTTTCTAATGGGTTGCATCCTACTATTATTTTTTTTCACTTTTTATTATTTTTAAAGGCGCTACCCTGGTCTATTATTACTCATGTAAAAGTCATATTTGATTGAATACGAAAATCTTACAGCGTTCCATTACTTGTTTTTTGTATGGAGAATAAACATGCGCCCCTAGCCAAAGTTTAGCCCAGCTTAAAATAAAATGTATCAAATTCATACTAATAAATTGAAACGGTAAATCTATACAGATAAATAAAATTGAAGTGTCTGTTTGTAATGTCAAAATAACAGCTTTTTACTAAATTCATATGGAATTATATTATATGGTATTTATAAGAAAAACACATTTTTTTTTAATTTTTGTCTGTCTATCTGTTTGTTTCGGTTAATCTCCGAAACGGCTGAGATGATTTTGACGGGACTTTCGCTGGCAGGTAGTCAACGTTATAAGGAGTAACTTACGCCACTTTTATTTCAGTAAAAGGGTTCCGTACAAAAAAATTAAAACGTACCTAGGTATATATACCTATGTGATATATAATAAATCCCAATCCCCCGTGCGCGCAGCGGGCGCGGCGGTGATCCAGCCGGCGCTGCTGACGGGCGCGGCGCCGCGGCCGCGCGCGCGCCGCCGCCACGCCGCGCTGCTGGCGCTGGCCGCGCTGCTGGCCGCGCTGCTGGCCTGCTCCGCCGTCGTGCTCGCCTACCGGCTCTACTGCGTCGACACGGTCAGTATCGTTTACATATATTTATTAAGTCGCTAGCGACTCACCCCGGTGAGTCTTTAGTTTCGTTTTCACGTTTTGTACAGATTTCTCAGAAATAAAATATTTTCCCGCGGTAAAAAGTATCTTATATGTTGACCCGGATGACCAGCTATCACTATACCACATTTCATCAAAATCGTTCTAGTAGTTTTGCTGTGATGCGGTAACGGACAAACAGACAGACAAAAATTCTTAAAACTATAGATTCGGCCTCTGTATCGATAATAATGTTTATTTCAATAAGATTTTCCAAAAAAATTTCATGTACAGATTCGACTTATTTACAATTTTATTATATGTATACTTCGAAGATTTAGGCGAATATTTGGCATTTTGAAATGAATGACGATTTTCACAAGAGAGACTAAAATTTTAGACATCTCAAAGGTTAATATTATTATATAGGTATAGTTTGTATCTACCCACAAAATTATTCAATAATATGAAAATGGTACATAAGTATTTTACAATATTTATTAATTGAGTAACATTTTTTATAATTTCAATATATTTTATAATTGTTTTATTTAAAATGTAACTGTCGTTAATGTACTGTCGAAAATGTCGGGAAACAAATCAAAATAAATCCGCGAAAAAATCTGTCCATCCATACTTTTCTCGGTCTACCTCTATCATTAGACCAGGGTAGAAGAAGCCGTTAAAAATAATAAAAAGTGAAAAAAAATAATAGTAGGATGCAACCCGTTAGAAAAGGAGGGGAATATTATAAAAATGAAAGGAAAAATAATTTACGGGCGATCTGAGGTCGGGAAGGGGATGGGGGTGAGTTTTTAAGGGTAAAAAACGGTTTTTCTCGATTTCCGGCAAAACTAAAAGTTCTATCGAAAAAAGTCAAATGGCAAAGTTATAGGTAATAAAAAGATCTAAAACTTGTATTTACACTTTTTTCACATAACCTCAAAATTTATGTGAAAATTTTGAAAAACCAAGTTTTTGGTTTTTTATTTTTATCTTTTACAAAAATGTTTTTGTTTTAACGAAATTTGGTGAAAACTTACCTTTTTATGTCCCTAATACGCTGTAATTTATTTGATTAAAAATATTTATTTTTTCACCTTATTTTGAATTAATATCGAAAAAGCACCCTAATTTTCAATCGAAAATTCACCCGTCAAAATATCAGCTTTTTTCAAAAAGTTGGTATGTTTTCTGTTCGTTGAAATCTCTACTTTCCGATGGTGAAAAAAAATATATGTTACTATAGTAAATCTTCTGAGAAAATGCAAAAAACAAAAAACCTTTTTTATTTCATACACTTGCTTATCATCTGCCTTATTGCAGATGATACAAACAGATTCATCCATACTGATAATCTGAAAAGACAAAATCGAATTAATAATGCCTTCACTATTTTATCGTGAGTATACCCCCATGAAAAAAAAAAAATTAAAGAAATAAATGTCAAAATGTATAAAAAATATATTATAAATATATAATAAAATATATGAAATATACATGAAAATCGGCCAAAAGTTAGTTATTAGTTATATATATTTATTTAGTTATATATATCATATTTTTTTTTTCACCATCGGAAAGTAGAGATTACAACGAACAGAAAATATACCAACTTTTTGAAAAAAGCTGATATTTTGACGGGTGAATCTTCGTTTGAAAATTAGGGTGCTTTTTCGATATTAATTCAAAATAAGGTGAAAAAATAAATATTTTTAATCAAATAAATTACAGCGTATTTGGGACATAGAAAGGTAAGTTTTCACCAAATTTCGTTAAAACAATTTTTTTTGTAAAAGATAAAAATAAAAAACCAAAAACTTGGTTTTTTGAATTTTTTACATAAATTTTGAGGTTATGTGAAAAAAGTGTTAATACAAAAGTTTTAGATCTTTTTATTACCTACAACTTTGCCATTTGATATTTTTCGATAGGACTTTTAGTTTTGCCGGAAATCGAGAAAAAACGTTTTTTATCCTTAAAAGCTAACCCCCTCACCCCCTTCCCGACCTCAGATCGCCCGTAAATTATTTTTCCTTTCATTTTTATAATATTCCCCTCCTTTTCTAATGGGTTTCATCCTACTATTATTTTTTTTGGTTTTAAAAATTATCGACCCTGGTCTACATCTACATTTATACCTAATATCCTCTTAATACTTTTTTTAGATTTACGCGAATATTTGACATTTTAAATAAAACTATCTTTTCGGATTATTTCCCGCATTTCATTCGATTTTCGGTTCCCCGACGTTTTGAATGTTTTACAATGCACACGGTCACGGGAGAGACTAAGATTTTAGACATCTCAAAGGCGTCAAAAAATCAAAATAAATCCGAAAAGATGGTTTTATTTACAATATCCTCATGTGTATATGACTCTGTTTCGTCATGATATGGTGATGGTGTGCAGGAGCAGGTGTCGGGCGACGAGCTGTACTCGGAGCTGGTGCGGTGGCGCGCGCGCCTGCACGGCCGCGCCGCCGCCGACCTGCACGCCTTCCTCTCCACCAACCTGCTGCTGCTCACCAAGGTGCGTACATACCCACCCACCACACACTCCACCCCACCCCACACCATACTGCCCTGTCCGACTTCGGTCGTGGTCAATCTCACATTTTAAATTTTATAATTATTAAGCTATTGCATAGCTTCTATCGCGGACCTTGAGCGTGGGGACCGAATCCAGAAATTCCGTAACGAAAAAAACCTGACACTCCCCACTCAGATTTGACATCTGACACCTGACGTTTTTGACGATCTGACATTTGACATCTGTTTCGGTAAGAAGTAACACATTCGCTTGCCTCGTAACTGAATCTTGTAAATCGTATTTGTGACTATTTAGACTTTGGCAGTTGAAAGTAATTATTGAAATGCCATTTCTATTACTAATGAAATATAATACACTTTGAGCTATCGTCTGAACACTATTTAGAGACAGTCTTTTGAATTCTTGCAACAAAGATGCAGTAGATGCAGCTTGCTTTCGAAAATATTGAATTTGAAAATGAATAATGATTCACAAGAATCCACAACAAAATATGGAACCACCATTGACGCGGTAATTTCCAGATATTTAGAAGATATGAAGTCTCAAACTTATGTTTCTTATTTCAGTTACCATAACTACCTATAGTTTCAATGATAAATATTCCTGAAGAACCGACATGTATAGAAAGGTAATAAAAATATTTTGAACAATATTAACATCTCATTTATTTAATAAAAGAAAAAAAAAATTGTTTTTTTATCGGTCACCACGCTTAAAGTGTAACTTGAATTAATATCAAAGAAAAAAAAACAAAGGAAAAAAAAAATACTGCATTAATAAAATAAATAAATAATTATAATTGCATAAGTTGATAAAAAATGCTATGCAATAGCTTTACCGCGGCAGTCTCCGAGTGCCACACGTCTTTTTTTATAATTTTGAAATACCCAGTGTCACTCTCACGGCTGAGACGAAACGACCTTGTCGAGTTAAACTACATCGAGCCGCTTGAGCTACAGAGCGTGCCAGAGAAATATACATACATACATACCATACTATATATCCGAAACGGAGCGACGGATTGGCGTGATTTTTGGTGTGAAGATAGTTGGAGAGCTGGAGAGTGACGTAGGCTACTTTTTGTTGCGGGAGATCATCTCATTCCCATGGGAAAATACATTATAATACAACCCAAAAACATATCTATAATCAGAATTACTTGAAACTCGATATTAATGCTCTTCAATACAATTAAATAAATACGTGTTTTAACATTTTTCCAAATCCATCCTAATAAGGGGGTAAAATATGGGGTGAAAGTTTGTATGAAACCTACTTTTTATACGGTTTTTTTTGTAGTTTTAGTAGCAGAAGCTGCGGGTTCTGCTAATAATTATATTATATAGATTTTTTTTTAAGAAATATTATTTTTTCTTGTTACAGATGTTGTTGTTATGATGTAAATAGTATATTCCCAAAAGGTTTTCAGTAAATTAAAAATGACCCTACGTATACACACACACACACACACACACTCGAAAAACATAACCCTCCTTCTAGCGCAGTCGGGCAATAAACTACATTATTTCTACTAAATTATATTTGTAGGTTATTATTAATAATTTAAATATGAATTTGTCCACAGGTGAGACAGTCGTTAGAAGCGCTGTCGGGTGTCATACTTACAGATATGGCGCAAAACATAGACGTTCCCAACGAGACTGTCTTTAGTTAGCAAACTTAAATCAGTCTAATTCAATGGGATACGTTAAATAGTGGATTGAAATTCAAAATTCTATACATGAATTGAGGGTCGCAGATTCATTCCCGGCTATAGTCTCCTAGGACGAGTTTAGGAGAATATATAAATAATGCGACATAACTAATCGTAAACTGAGTGAGTTAATGAGTTAAGTGAAGTGACAGTGATTATGCAGGGGTCGTAAACCTTTTTTGGTTATTTAATGGATTTTTTGTCGAATATGAAAACAAAAATTGTTCTTATGTAATTACTATGGTATAGGAAAATAATGTGTAATATTTTAAATGTGATGTAAAAATGTACGTGTACAATATGTTATTTATTTTTTTATTCGAAAAGGTTTACCACCTCTGAAATGCATTTTAAATATTATATCCATATTAGTACCTGCTTAACACCAATCGCATTCAGTTTTCTTTCCTTACTGTGATTGATTATTTTAGAAACTTATATTAGTTAAGTTAATTTAGTTTGTCCAAAGAAATCCTGGTTTTTGTGATTTTGTATATATGAGGGAAACCAATTAAAAGCCTCTAAGGTACTAGATTGTACAGAATGTGTCAAACACTATAGGTTAAGTAGCGAGGGAACTGAAAAATGATATGGCCAAGTTGAAAAACATTTAGATCTCCTTAATAATCCTTAATTGGCCAAGTTAATTTGGCCGTGTCGAGACCTTGACCGAGCAAATACTTGGCCAAGTAATTTAGCCAAGTACCGTTTTGGAGAAGTGCGAATGAGCGAATGTAATGACAACGATAAGTTGCCTACTTACGTGTATGTATTTGTTGAATTTTTTTATTTCTATATAAATAAAGAAAAAAAAATTTTTATTTCGAAATTATTTTTTAGAAGCTTTCAATGTATGAGATAAGTGACACCCGCATAACCAAAAAGCATTTATTTTAATGGAAATTTTAATATTTTTATTTACTATACTGTCTGTATGTGGTGTAAAGTATAGACCACAGTATAATAATCTATACAGTCGTCTAACGCAGTCTACAGGCGCACCTCACTGTCGTACATATTTTTATATGGCGGTCGGGATACCGGGTCTCGCACCTCTGATATTTTCATGTGCGAATCATTTCCAACATGATTACCACTTGTCTTACGGTGAAGGAAAACATCGTGAGGAAACCTGAATGTGTAAGAGAACCCAGCGAGTTTTCAAAAGACATGTGAAGTCCGCCCGCACTTGGCCAGCGTGGTGGACTATGACCTGCTCCCCCTCGTACTGAAGGGAGGCCCGTGCCCAGCAGTGGGACGTTAAAAAGGACTAAATACACATACAGGATCCGGGAAACGGCTTTATCGTTGACAGAATTAGGTGTAACTTACCATGACTCAGCCCTACAGAGATTTAAGTCCGTTTAATTCATTTCAATTTTCGTATTATTGGCTTCATAGCTTGCCATTTAACAACAGAAACTCCGTTCGCTGTAAAACGAATTTTATTTTTGACAATCCTAGCATTTGACAGCGTTTCCATTAAAAACCATGGATGCCTTCTGTATGGATTTTTATACTGTGGTATTAGTTTAAAAAACATTCCTGAAATAATATGTCGAGTCAGAGCTTGTATGTATGGTTCATACAAATCTCGATAACAACCAAAGTAAATTGAATGTTACATATTATAGAGAAAGCTTTTACATATTATCCATTGTTATCGTTGAATTATTGCTTTATTTTTGGTGAATGCCCAAATTATATATATATATATATATATATATATATATATATATATATATATATAATTATTTATTTATACATATGTATTTGTTTATTGATAATATTTATTTCACATATTTTTAATTTATTTATTTTATTTGTCGAATCTGTTTCACGATAGCTGTCTTATATACAATGTTACAACAAAAGTTCCTTTGTTTTTATGAAATAGGACAATAATATTCAAGTAACGCTCTGGCTCAGGTTTTGTATGGATTTATTTATATATGAATATAAATTGGGAGTTGTGAATGTACATAAATAAAAATTAATTTTCTAGATAAATATTTTTTGGGTAATAATTATCATGCACGCATGCATTTTTATTACTATTCAAATGGCTAACTAGGCAATAATGTAAATCCGTTTTTATGAAATAATAACTTAATCCATACATTAATTTCTCTTGTAATAAAGATTTCTATTTAAAATGGACTATTAATAATAGTAATTCTAAGTCTATTATAAACGGAGCCGCGGTAAATAGCTAGTCGATTTTAATGGTTTTATATCCGAATCTTGCCAATATAATGTAATCATGGGCGCCGGCAGATTTTTTTTTAGGGGAGAGGGGGGGGGGGTGCGAGTATTTAAAAATATCGATAGTTAATACACATAAGATCGAGTGGACTTAAATTAAAAATCTTTATTTAAATAATGTTTTTCCAGCATATTAAAATGATTTTTTATTCGATTTAAATTATTTTTTTGCCAGGGAGGTGCAAGTGCACCCTCTTGCACCCCCCTTTCGGCGCCTATGAATGTTATATGAATATTATTTGGTTTAGTTCGTTAGTACATTTATTTTTAAGTGTCTAAAGTAATTCTAAGAGCATCTTAGCAATCATTTAGTATCCTTTTTCTATATGTGTAATATATTCGAATTTGATTTTCGTTATGGAGTTGTTATAGTTTTTTTTAAAGATCTTATGATTTAGATTTTTTTATGTACTAAAATAATTTTTAAATATCATCATATAATTTCTCGAATCGACAGTCCGTAAGTAAACATGTGTATGTATAAAATATGTTTTTTATTGACAAGTATTTAGTTTAAATAACTATTAAAGGTAAGAAATTTTTCAAAATGAAATAGGTTTAACTTTAGCAGTTTTAATAATCAAATATTTTGTGTCTATACATAAAAATAACAAAAGTAGTTTGTTCATATTGTTTCTTTACTTACAGACTGTCGAATTACAAAAGGGTTTTATTTTTAGGTTCTAGTTTTAGAATGCGATATTAAATTCGTATAGAAATGGCATCTTCGCAACAATGCGATGTGTTAAACATAATTTATTATTCTAGTCTCTAGTAAAGCTCAACTGGTATGTTTTGGTACTAAATGTGTACTTATTTATAGCTTCACTTAATATCCTTGTCGCCTCAAATCCAATATTGGTGATAATGATCTAAACTTTAGATCAGTCAGCGGTTCCCAATGTTTGTTTTTTTGGTCACGGAACCCTAATCGATCATTATTTTTTACACGGATCCCCATTTTGATCATAACTGATTGTGTTGTATTTAGAATACTTTCTTGTTTGACTTGAAAGAACAAATCGTAAATGAAAAATATGAATACTTATAATAATATTTTTCGTACCAAAAATATAACCTAACTGTTTAATGTAATTAATGTTTATTTTTTCATATATTTATTTATAATAACACAAAAATTAGGCTTCTTGTCTGACAAAGTTTTATTTAACTCTTGGACGGAACTCGGGACCAGGGCTGCCAGTAGAACCAACTTATTTTATACCGCTAGGTCGCTCAAATTATACCAAATCAAATTTTATTATACAAATTAACTAAACTGTTGAGAAATAGTCTGTGACGAATATAAAAATTCAATAAAAATACGTATACGTAAACAATATTTCACAATTTTCATATCCAATTATACGATCTGGCAGCCCTGCTCGGGACAACTGGGCTACTTCCACGGAACCCCAGGGTTCTGCGGACCATCTTTTGGGAACCGCTGATCTAAAGAATTGAACAACATTGGGTCTTATCTCTAAGAACAGCATTCATCAAAAACCTTAATTCTTAAATATATTTAGTAGTAATATCAAACGTTGGCTTAACATATTTAAGACATTTAAATAAGATATTAAATACGTCATATAAATTGAATCAAGATGGCAGTTTTTTTCTTAAACATTGAATAAAACGACTATGACGAAATTAAGCGCCATCTATTGGTCACGGATTTTGTAAAATCTTGTTATTTACAACAACGCCATCTATCGAATCAAGAGATATCTACTATAAAGTATCGTGTCAAGAAAATAAACATATTATTTGATTATGACCTCATATGTTAAGTGATTATGAAGTTACATTGTTGTTTTATATAATATAAAAACTAGCTGCCATTTTGGTTTATATTTCTCGTTAGTTGGCCCAATGTTGGTTCATTATCGTCACCAATATCGGATTTAAGGTTATCTTAATGCATGATTGATTTAATTTTCTATACTCTAATCTGTAATGGCTGTTCGTAGTCTAGGATCCAAATGTAATGTAAACTTATATATTAGAAAATAATATTTTTAATACGTTCACTTACATTTTTGTTATGGGCTTTAATGTTGATTTTTCTTTAAATTGTCACAAAATATTCATAAGTTGACAAATATTGTTAATATTTTTATTTTGTTACGGTTTAAATTACCTTGATATTAAAGCGGTTACCAACAAGTGTTTGTCACTTGCATACTAATATTTTATTTCTTTTAAAATCAGGAAAATAGTTCTTTGCCAAAGAAAATGCTAGATAAGTAATGTAGGTAGCAGTTTGTAATATCCAGTGTTAGATAGGAGGAAGAATTACATATATATTTTTGGCTTCACTTGTTATCGTGTTTATAAATAATTTATTATTCCGTCTGTCAAAATTGAAATTTTGAATGCATTTATTTAAACATTCTTAAATTTAATTGGCTTTTAAATGTTTTATTTGGTGCGGTTTAAGATAGTATTTAATTGTTGGCTCTTGGACTATAATGTATTGGTGATATTTATTTGTTCGGGCAGACGGTGTCTAGTGCAATCTACAAATTAAATTAATGGTTTCTTGTAGAAATTGTTAAGGTTTTTGTTATGCGGTCATTTTGTATATACATATAAATTGGAATTTGTTTGTTATTTTATGTAAATAATAGATAAAGGACTTTATTGAACATTTATGGTTGTTTTATTTAAAATTATGTTGGATTGGCATAATCTATTCAGCCCCTTTTAACGTCCCACTGCTTGGCACGGGCTTCCCTTCTATTGAAGGATCGAGAAGGATTGATATAATATATTATCTTCAATTCAAAATTTATTATTGAGTACCTGGGTCTTATTCAATCTTGCGCCTTGGTCGCTTGACCATGATGCTTATATCCGACCGTGTGAAATTATCGAACATAATATTTTGCGTGGAATAATGCAAAAGAAAGCTGCATGAAAATTCGAAAACACGCATTTTCCCAGACATAAGACTAATCTAGAACGATTTATCGCCCCCGAAACCCCTGGTATACTAAATTTAATGAAAATCGTTGGAGCCGTTTCCGAGATTCAGATTATATATTGATATATACAAGAATTGCTCGTTTAAATATATTAGATAAGTTCATCAAGTATCAAGTTACTTATACCTGTTATGAATACGTTTTGATATTTACTTTATTGTAAAGATTATTATAATAAAATCTAGGTATAAGTAATGCTGGGGTAATTTAAGCTTTCTATAACTTTTTAAAATGATTTATTGTTTTATAAAATTAAAATCTTTGCAAAATGCTACGTTACTATACTACTACTATTGTTAAACTTCAAACAGGTAGAAGTTATATAACTTCTCATAAAATTTCCATACCGGAGGCGTTATACGAAAATAGATTCTTAGAAATAAACTCTAAAACAAAAGGAATTTCTCGAGCATGATTGTTCAAACAAAAATATAGATTCTTTAGCTACTACAGCTACGCTAATTCGAGATATTATAGCAAAGTAATAATAATACTGGCCGCTTATTTATATAATAGGAGATGTATTAGAAACATAACTATCAAATGTATTTATTATAATCTCTAATACGTGTTAGTATTTTTAAAGATGAATAAAGCCTATTTTATACACGGCCACAGGCAATCTTTCAATCTCAACATGATGATATTCTCCTAGCCGATTCCGGCCACGGCGGCCAATCTCATTGAGATTAGCCAACTGCGCAGGAGATATTATAGTGCTCAAGTGTACGCGCAGACACAACGTGCACTCTCTATTCCTGTCACTCTCATACTCCGGTGGGACGACTGCTCGACACGACCAGTGAGAGTTAAGGTATCTCAACATATAGTGTACTTGAATATATTATAGATGGCGTTGAACTACAAACGGTCGAATTACAAAAACTCATTTAAAGTAAACAGCGCCATCTATGAGTATGCATTGCAAACGCACTACTTGATTGGTGATTATTATAATTATTGTATAAAATTAGGTAAATTTGATTTATGTGCTTATTATATCATTTCCTTAAGCTATTTTTTAAAACCGTAACTTTCTTAAATTTTACTACAATATACTTTCTTGGGATTTATATATTATTATTTATTAGTTTTACACAAACTTCAATAACAAATCAATACGTATAACGCCATCTATTGACATTTATTTGAAGTAATTTTCCTTCGTTTCTGATGAGACAACGTACAGTTTATTTAAAATATTTTATACAAAATAAACAATAATTTTATGATACGACCTATAAGTTATTCGTATTTAAAAAAATATAAACAACTATTGGGTTTCGACAGTTATTTACAGAATATTTGTCAGAGTTTTTACGGCTATAGCTATTTGTGCTATGTTCGTACCGCACCTTTTTAAAAGTAGGTATATGATAAAAATATAGGTAAATAAAAAAAACTCTGGTACCTTCTACCAATAACACTTCTCAGTTCTCTCTAATTTAATGCTGAAAATGATTTCAAAATTGAGAATTAAAAAAAAACCTTAGAAAACTTCCCCTGACTTATAAAATCTAACATAATTATTTTATTCATAAAAAATACAACATTTAAAGTAAATATAATTTAATATAAGTAAACATGGTACAAATAATATACACAAACTTCAACATTAAAAATTAATGAGCTACATTAGAAGTCATTATTATACAATTTCAAATATAAACCACGAACCACGAACCATTTTTCGAATTTAACATAAGTTATTAAGTATTTTGTTACAGGCGTACGTACAGTTTTTAAATTGGCAACGCGAACATTTTAAAACTATATCGCTATAGTATCTGAAGCTTACCCTGTCAAAGCATTAATTATTAATATTATACTCAGTTTATAAAAAGTTTAAGGTCACGAAAGGAACAAATGCTCAGGTAAAGGTTTGAAAAAAAAACATGGAAACACATTAAATCAGCAAAATTCTGTTAAAAATAGTAGAGACAAAAATAATATTATTACTTTTAGTAACTAATAAATTAGTCATAAACGTTCAAATAAAATTGAATTTGAATAAATTGAGTTCAAAACTTTCTTAATTAAAAATATTATAATTTTATAATATAATGTCGTATATAATTTTGGAGGCAACATTTGAATGCAATAAATTTTATTAGGAATCACCGAGACGTCAGTTGCGATTGTCTAATATCAATCACTTGCTGTCAATATTTTAATACTGACAATCGTTTGATTCGCCCATTTATATGAAGGGGCGTCATTCATCAATCACAGAAATATTGACAATCACAAAGGCCCATATCGTGGATAATTTTATCCTGTCAATAGAAGCTTTATTTCTTCTTGGACAGAGTTCTTTGTTTTTCCGCGTGTTGCACAAGTTGTTTGTCTGTCGCCAAACCTTTCCTAGTCCTCACAGCGTCCATGTACGCCTTAGCTCTATTCACTCCATCCCATTTTTCACCCCAATGAAGGTATTCTTCTTCAGTTCTTGGTCTCCAGAAGGGATCAATATCGATTACCTGTAATTCATGGAAGTACGTAATTATAACGATAACCTATTATCCTTTTATATATGAGTGCAAGCAGGATATGGATATCTTTAAAATAGTATTGTAGGCACACACAAATATACACACATCCTGTTAACACTTTAACATTTTTGATTAAGACCTTTTTATTAACCTTTTTTTAAATTACGTTTTTGTATAGATTTGTAAAAAAAATTGTGACATTAAAAAGGCGAACAAATATATGCACGATTTTTATTTCTATTCCAATAAAATAGATGTAAATAATCTAATATTGCTGCAACGGTCATAGTATGTAAAAACACACACATAACTCTCTTTCTTAGATTTACGCGAATACCCCTTTTTTGGGATTCGCCGTAGTTGGGTAAAAGAGAAAACAATGTGTAAAAAAACATGTTAGTAAAGGTGCGCCTTTATAGATATTATAGCAATATGTAAATTATAACATTTTTAAGATTTATATACGCAGGAGAAAAGTGTTATATTGGAATATCATTATCCAGTATTAGTCGTTTCAGCTTAAAGAACTAACAAACACACAATCATACAAACTTTTGCATTTATAATAGTAAGTCCTAACACCTATAATTAAATTAAAAATATTAATAGAACAAATAAAAATAAATAATCACATACACTTAAAACGTCATTTAACGTTACTGAAAATAGTACCAACATTAAACATATAGCAATTAGCTATGGCCTTTGTCAATATGAATTCTCAAATTATCCTAAAGTACAAACGTTCAGCCGTTTTAGCATGAAGGAGTAAAAAAAACAAACACACGTGACACACACACACATACAAATTTCTGCAATTATAATTGTACCTATAAATTATATTGTATAGGTTATCTTACCTCCCAATGACTGAACATCAACTGTGGCGCGGCCAGGCCCGACGTGTGCGTGCGAAGCTCCATCGCAAACTTGAAGCTCTCTGCCACGGGCATGAGTGCTCGTACCCTGAAGGACGCGGAACCACTCTGTAGGTCGCTACCTATGACCCTCCCACCACGCTTGTTGAGGGACGCGTATAATCTACCTGAAACAGTATTTATAATATATTTAAATATTCAATCCTATCATTTGCTTTATAGTTTATGGTTTTAGAGTGGTTATTATAAATGGTTTGCAGAATAAATATCGTAGTATCAATTATGGAGAAAATATTGTTTTTACGAATAATGATGACGATTTTTTATATTTAGAAATAAAATATAGCAGGTAATTTCAAATTTTCCCCTTGAACATGAGTATAATAATGCTAGCTAGCATAATATGTGCTTATATATAACTAGCGACTCACCCTCGCTCCGCTCGGGTTCGTCCCTGGGGTGGGGTCTGGGAGGACCACCCTTATCCTTATCACTTAGGGGTATGAAAAATAGATAGTAGCCGATTCTCAGACCTACTGAATACGCATATAAAATTTGGTAAAAATCGGTGAAGCCGTTTCGGAGGAGTACGGTAACAAACATTGTGACATGGAAATTTTATATATAAGACTAGAGCACCGTAATTATTGTATGTAATATATTTAATATGTATGTATAGTTTTATATTGGCCTATTACATATTATCTTTGTTACAGTATCAAAAAAAGTTATCTTTCTCTGCAGCCCAAATTTTTCAATATTTTTTAAGTAGTCGTATTCGTATTTATATATATAGATCTACTTTGAAACTTTAATATTACATACATTAATAAACCATTTACATTTCTTTTGCACGAGCGTGGTTGGCGTTCTCTTAGTTTTTGTATAAAGTGTTAATTTGAAAATAAAGAAGGTACTAGAAAATAAAGTCTACCTCATTTTCAAATTAACACAAATAATAAAATCTATCGAAAAAAAAATATGTATAAAGAAATAATAAAAAATAAATTCGTCATACTTGTGAATAGCGTAATTTGAAATTTGCTCGGAATTTTGCGGTTATTGACTGAAACTGTACACGAGTATCAGATAACCCGTCTCGTGATAATTTTAAAAGAAGGATATGAAAAAGTATACGAAAAAAGCGAAAAAAGTTCGCTTCGTGATGCCATAACTTAACAAAATATTTGGGGTGCACTCGCGTAGAAAGATTCCTCTGGTAAACAGATTCGGTATGGCCATTTTGAGATGAAAGGGGGTCTTCCGGCCACGAGCGTGCATCCGGTCCGATTGGTCACGTCCGGAACACAATGAGGCCTGGAGCTAGCACTATTTGACAAGTAAATCAAGATGCAGTTTCCCGATTGAGTCTCAGAAGACGATTTAGGAAATATATTTTTATGCCTTAGGGCTGTACTTATAACAGGAAAAAAATGTAACATACAGTGAATAGATGTTGAATGAGTTACGAGATAAGTACTTTTTACCTAATAAAAGTTGTCTGACAAATATTTTTATTTTTTACTTTTTTTACTTCAAAATTTAAAGCTATAATTTTGAAGTCAAACATATTAATTTGTAAGTATATTTTTGCAGATAACTTTTATCGGTAAATTGGTTCTTAGACAGGCAAGCTGTATTATTATATTTAAACGTTGTAAGTTCTCTAGAATAAAATTAAAGAAAATCTAATTAAGAAGTACATATATTTAGTGGTTTGAGGTTTCTTTTGAAACGTGGCTTAGTGTAATCATCATACGACCTGTAAAAGTTGTATAGGCGGAATGTCAATAATAAGAATTTACTTATATTGGTAAATAAAACTATATATAGGTTTTACGTTATATTAAATGCACTTTTTCAGGCCTGTTATATAACACTAACTAACTCACTTTCATAGGTTGGCTGGAAGAGATCTCTTCTAGAGATAAGTCCATCTTTGCTCACATTGGTCTCTGTCTTAGCTACGAGTATGTTACATACTTAATGTACAAAGAATATAAGTAATATAAGTAGGTACTACTATGATTATATATATTTATAGATATATAATAATTAGAACTAGATTTTTAACATATTTATGTTAATAGAAACCCTCTCCAATCGATTAAGATTTTAGATAGTTTTCTTGTCAAAAACATTTTTAGCTCTGACAGCATGACTGAAATGATATTTCTTCCTTTAATTATTTATGGGTAATAGATAGGTATAATAAATATACAATATACACGTAGTAGGTATATAAAGAACTATGTATTACTAGCATTGCCCGCGGCTCCGCCCGTGTTCAGGTGACCAAAAAACAAATGTTTAGGTTTTACATATTAGTAGGTATACCTACTCTTACATTGCAGTTTTTGTATTTTTTCTCAGAAATGAGATATTTTCCCAGGGTAAAAAGTATCTTATATGTTGACCCGGATAACCAGCTATCATCATACCAAATTTCATCAAAATCTGTCCAGTGGTTTTCTTGTGATGCGGTAACAGACAGACAGACAAAAATTCTAATAACTATAGATACGGCCTCCGTATTGATTATAATGGCTATTTCAATAAGATTTTCCAAAAAATATTTAATGTACAGATTCGACTCAGTTAGAATTTTATTATATGTATAGATTTTAATCACTACTGTCGTTGGTTTGTTAGAACAAATTGATTTAGAGCAAATAATTATCTATTTCATACTATTTTATTCAAATTCACTACACTTAGCATCAGCATCAGTTTCTATTTCGATAAATTATTAAACATATAAAAAAATCCAAACCGTATAAAACAATGGGCGTTTTATATGTACGTACGCGTGTAAGGTGTAATGTTACAACCACTTACTTGTATTTTAGACACGTACATGCATTTAGAAATTGAATGAGTTAATAATTTATTAACATAATATAAAAATATATAATATAGGTTTTTCGTAAAAATCTAGATTCAAGATTCTAGTAGATTCCAAATTCAAAATATTTTATTCAGCATTAAATTATTACGAAACTCAGCGGGACTATGGGGATTCAAGAGGGCTTCATGTATATACTATATACTGTAAATTTATGAAGTATCGAGAAATAGTAAATTTGAAATATGAAGTCATCACTAGCATTTAAGTTATTAAAAAGTTATTATTTTATTTATGTCCATCCTACATTTGTTTTTCAGTATATATTAACATAATTTTAACTAACATTTTAATTTTTTAACTTTGAGTAGAAGGTATCCAGTGCTAAGCAATTTTATATAATGAAGATTGGGTACATACATCAAGTATGATTATATCACATGTGATGAGATATCTATACATATAATAAAATTGTAACCAAGCCGAATCTGTACCTTAAATATTTTTTGGAAGATCTTATTGAAATAAACATTATTATCGATACAGAGGCCGAATCTATAGTTTTTAGAATTTTTATCTGTCTGTCTGTCTGTCTGTTTGTCTGTTACCGCATCACAAAAAAACCACTGGAGCAATTTTGATGAAATTTGGTATGGTGATAGCTGGTTATCCGGGTCAACATATAGGATACTTTTTACCGCGGGAAAATATCTCATTTTTGAGAAAAAATACAAAAACTGCAATGTATGAGTATTGAGTATACTAATATAAAAAACCTAAGAATTTGGTTTTTGGTCATTTGAACGCGGGCGTAGCCACGGGCAGTGCTAGTAAGCAATAAAATCGATAGATGTCGATATTTTTTAAGTGATTCTTAGATTTGTCTAAGGCACCTTTTATTTGACGTAAGTTTTGAGTGCTTGCGGTTTTGTTGGTACAATTTATATTACACGGAAAAAAGAACCAACTAACTCCGAGCTGCGCCTCAAATGGTCTTCTGAAAATAAACACTTTACGCTCGAGTGCTTTGTGTTGTTTCATTTTACTTTTCTATATTAAATAATATGGATTTTGTGCAAGATAATTCAAGTACTTATCTAGAATTAGATTTTAGATATAGGTACTACCTACTAATTACACTAGTAACTGACTCTGTTAGAGGGATATTAGGGAGGTCACCGATCAAATTCCCAGTGCTTATATTGACCCTTTATCTTTTATCTATATTCTATACTAATATTATAAAGAGAAAAGATTTGTTTGTTTGTTTGTACCGAATAGGCACCGAAACTACTGAACCAATTTAGATGAAATTTGGTAAGAAGATACTTTGAGACCTAGGGAAGGACATAGGATAGTTTTTATCCCGGAAATCTTCCTTTAAGGGAGTGAAAATGGGAATTAAATTTTGTATGAGCAATCAACCTAGAGACGAACCCGAGCGAAGCGAGGTTGAGTCGCTAGTACCTCATAAAGCGTTAAAAGCTGTGAAAAAACACACACACACATATATATATATATATTGTATGTATATATATACACATACAATATATATATATATATATATATATATATATATATATATATATAATAATATACAAATAGTAAAAATTCTTCAAGTACAGCATAGAAATAATGACTTTCCATGTAGTTAGTTATACGATTATTTAACAATTGTCGCAACAGCGATGATGTTATTACAGACATCCAGGATATGAAGAAAGTAAACGTGTAGGTAGATTACGCAAGCCCATATTAACGGATATAGGGTTAAATTTCGCTGAGCGTTACATTAGGCAATTTAATTTTAACCGCGACGAATTTTGTTTAGCATTCGATTAGAAATGCGATATTTCCTTTAAAGAATATACACATTTTACTTTGATAAAGCCGAAAAATATATAATTTATATATATATATATATATATATATATATATATATATATCCGAGTAGGTATGTGTATAAATCTTAGAAATAAAACTTCTCTTTTAAAATAGCAGAAAAGGACTCTCTATTGTAAAATACACAAGTATAATCGTTTGAAAAGCACTAAGGCGACGACTTACAACACTTCATCAGAAACACAATATTCGCAGTTTCCTTTTTATAATAAACTAGAAAAACAAAAACAAATTTAACCCACGGGAACCGTACTTTTTTCCGGGATAAAAAGAAACTTATGTGTTATTCTGATGTTTGAGCAATATTATTGCAAAGTTTCATCAAAATAAATTCAGTAGTTTTTGTGTGAAAGAGTAACAAACATACATCCATACATATATTCTTACAAACTTTCGCGTTTATAATATTAGTAGGATAGATATATAGATTATAATAAGCATAACAGTACTGAGTTCACATAATAACCTATGTATACTTATACTTGTTACATACAATATATCTATCTGCTTTATATGAAAAATATCAACCCACGCTCATCTTTTGAGGAAAATCGAGAAGAACATTACTCACAGTCCGCTACTTCCTTTTCGTTGGTACACAAACAAAATGTATAATTAACATAACATTTTTTAAGCAAATCATAAACAAAAAATAGCAAAAAAAACTGTTCATATTTTATAACCTATACTAGCATTGCCCGCGGCCTTGCCCGCGTTCAGATGACCAAAAACAAATTCTTAAGTCTTACATATTAGTATACTCTTACATTGCAGTTTTTGTATTTTTTCTCAGAAATAAGATAATTTCCCGCAGTAAAAAGTATCCTATATGTTGACCCGGATAACCATATACCATCATACCAAATTTCATCAAATTCCCTCCAGTGGTTTTACCGTGATGCGGTAACAGACAGACAGACATAAATTTTAAAAACTATAGACTCGACCTCTGTATCGCTAATAATGTCTATTGCAATAAGATTTTCCAAAAAATATTTAATGTACAGATTCGGCTCAGTTAGAATTTTATTACATGTATAGATTATTCAGCAAGCGGGATTCAAATTAACGACTACGGTTGACACAGTTAGGGGTCACCTTAACCTAGCGAAGGTCTACAAAATATTTACTCACATAAATAAAACGGGTCCCTATATGCATTTCCACGTATTTTATATATTTAAGGTGGTATTTGAGTGTATGATAAATACCGCACGCCGCTGTTAGAGGATGAGGCAGACCGTTGTGTCCTATATAGCCTTGTCCGCTGATAACTCAGTTATTTTGTTCCGGAACATCCGTCTATCACACAACGGGGGATCAAACTATATCAATATCATATATAGATTTGTGTATCTACTATAATTATTTGTTATTTATTGTACATTTTTATATAATTGATTTATTTATGTACCCATATAAAAAAGTAAAAGGTTAGAAGGTTAGAAGCGCGTGCAAAGTACTGGACAGATGCTGTTCTTTAAATAAATGAACTAGGTATATTAAATATATGTAAGTTAATCTAAGTTTATTTAAATTGTTCGTTTTAGTTTCTTATAATAAACTTAATAAAATAAGCATTCTAAAAATTAACCTAGCTAGAATACAATAGGTACGTTCTTTAGTACTTAGGTTTATTTCTTGATGTTAAACCAATTAATTGGACAACTATTATAGATCCGTCAGTTTGTCTTTGTGTGAAATATCTCCTATATAGATAGGTAGGTACCTAGGTACTAATTGTGCAAGCCTTCATTCATACCTTATAAGAAAATTCCTACACAATAAACAATTTAAACCATGAACTACCTACTATAGTCAAACTAATCACAACCGCACGTAGGTGCCATGTAATAATACACTGGGTAAATCAATATTAATTATTTATTAATATTGTCAGTAATTAAAGGTATCCGTACAAGTTGTATGATTACGCATAGTAAACACTGCTTGTTCACTAATGGTACCTACAAGGAACCCTTAAAAATATACAATAAATAAAAAATAAGAATTAACAAGAAGAGAAATAATCAGGTAGAAATTTCTTTATATTCAAAGATTCTTTAAAAAACATATAAGGGCATCACAAATTATCTGGTACTATATATATATATATATATAGTCAAAAGATAGTGTTTTAGCATTTAACAAAAACGAAAATTTGTTTGTCATTGTGTCCTCCTCTTTATCTTAAAATATGATAGATTTACCTCCAAAAGGAAAACAAGCGTAGCTTTAAAAATATGTACACAAATAACACGACCTTCGCTACTGGAATTGACTGTGACGATCGAATAATGTGCGTACCGCAAACATCCGTCGCGGACCCTCTCCTACATAAAAACATCTTATAATAAGCTTACAAGCTCCGGCTGTAATTGTAACGGCGAAACGAATGAATGCAATACTCGCACAAGGAAATGAAGCGCAATTATAGAAAATTTCGTATCGCGGCTGTTTGGATCTGAAATCTTTAGACTGACTAATAGAATAACAATAGCGGAACTAGCTTCCATATAAACTTAATATATATACTAGCGTTTCATCCTCGCTTCGTCCGGGTTCGTCCTTAGTTTGATTCCCCATACAAACTTTTATCTTCATTTTCACCCCCTTAAGGGATGATTACCGAGATAAAAAGTATCCTCGTGTTTAAGCATTTTTCGAAATTCATCCTATAAGGGATAAAGTAGAGGATGAAAGTATGTATGAAACCTACCTTTTTAGAGTTTTTCTTATAGTTTTAGTGCGAGCGAAGCCGAGGGTTTTGCTAGTAATATTATGTAATTATCATTTGTCATGTTAAGTTTAACCGAGAAGACGCAACCCCAACTAATATATATTATTACGTTCCACAGATATGTGCATTGTACATAATATGTAACTAATGTACTCGAAATATAACCGTCTAATTAAGCAGGGGCTGGTCACCTGTAAAATGATTCACTTATGATTTAAACGAACACGACTTATCTAGATTTAGTTAAGCGAAATGCAATTAAAACATTTTTTTTATTGAATTAATTATCGCTATCTGCAACTGAATTACTCTGGCGCCAATCAAGATACACGTGAGATAAACACTGGAGCAACATTTTATCTTGCTCGTTTAGAATAAAAACAACAAATTTATTGCATAACTAGCATTGCCCGCGGCTTCGTTCGCGTTCAGACGACCAAAATCCAAATACTTAGGTTTTACATATTAGTTATACTCTTACATTGCAGTTTTTGTATTTTTTCTCAAAAATGAGATATTTTCCCGTGGTAAAAAGTATCCTTTATGTTGACCCGGATAACCAGATATCACCATACTAAATTTTATCAAAATCCCTCCAGTGGGTTTCCGTGACGCGGTAACAGACACAGACAGCCAGACAAAAATTCTAAAAACTATAGATTCGGCCTATGTATCGATAATAATGTCTATTTCAATAAGATTTTCCAAAAAAATATTCAATGTACAGATTCGGCTTAGTTACAATTTTATTATATGTATAGAAATATCCAATAGCCATCGATTACGCTTATCAATTCCATTCAAGGTTAAAAATAGATGTCCGTTAAGTACTCCTGAGCACGGCGCAAAAAACTTAAATGCCTCGACGACAATTCCACAAATATTTTCAGCCGAGTGCCCCGCGATGAGAGGGGTTATTATTGAATATCCTCAGATCCGATCGGATTTTGTTTTTATATTATTCTTTATCGTGACGGGAAACGATCGACGGGAAGGGAGAAAAACGTAATAGTCCGCTTTTTACTGCGCCTCGTCGGTGACAAATTGCACGCGATTCGAGTTTAGACTACCTGTTTTTGACGTCATAGATTTCCATACAAGCTGCTTTTACTACATATTTGTTGGTGACCTGGTTTCATCTTTGTCGTACTGTTTTAAGAACACTACTATGTCAAGATCTAAAAGAGCTTTTAATTGTTAAGGAACTTTCGTTGAAATACTAAAAGTTTGTTTAAGCTTTCTAATTAAAAAATCAAACGGTAAAGAATACTCGATATTTCAGGCTAGGGCAAAGGAAGCGGGTCTCGTTACTGATATCCGTCGTACTTACGCGCGCAGCTAAGAACTTACATCCTGTAGCATCTGGAGATGCTCTTAATTTAAGAAGTGTTTGTAGCTTTCAACTTCACTAAACAATTTCTTAATTGCTGTGGGAAGCTCTAAAGCTTTTATATCTTTAACTATTAGGAGCTTTAACTATTAGGAACTATTATTGATAATTTTAAACGACTTTTTACCTGAATAGTTATTTAGTTTGTAAGTTGAGAAGAGTTAAAGTTAGAATAATTAATTTCATGAGTAGTAAAGGTCGACTCGCTGGTTTTTCTTGGTATGCCGTAATTATTTTATTTCATTAGCCCTAACCAATTTATTTATGGAATCGACTGTGTAATTGATATGATTTATTTCATATTAAACGATTATATTCTATTACTGGCCAACTATAATGACGTTAGTGAATGTGAATCCTATAAAAATAATTCAATTTATAATATCTATGCACTAGATAAATCTAATAAGGTATTCGGTCTATATATAGTATGAACGGCAATCCACGAGGCGTGCAACAGAATCCTGATTAGCTTTGATTATTGTTCTATTTCGGGGATCAATGGCTGGATCAGGCAGGAGGTCGCACGTGGGCAGATGTGATCCTGCACGTGGATGATACGACCACTGACTGTGAAGATTTCTGTATATATGTTACAGTGATAACTTTTAACCGGTCAAAATGGCTTTTGTCTGCGAAAAACAGACTAACATAATTTTGGCAAACTACCGGTTTACTTTGACATAAATTGAAGTGGTAAGATTTCGAATTGTCATCAACCAACTTCTACGCTAAGAGACTTCTTAGTATAAAATGACTGCTTATAAAAAAATTTAGATTATGACAAACAGACAAAAGTAGGTAGAACCTCCCGAGATTAGGTATATGTATAGAGAAAAATATAACTATTGTAAAAGTAAGGTTTCAGTTAAAAAAAAGTAATATCGACATGCTTTGTAGTCATAAGAAGTTCTGATCGGTGAAGAGTTTTAACTGTAACATACGCCTAAAAATATTTATTTTATTTAATAAAAATAAAATTATACATATTTGTTGAAATATTGTTTATAGATGCATTATATTTAATAAATATTTTTTTATTAAT